GACTGCTGCCTAAGAGGGGAGGGGAGGGGAAGGGAGGGCTGAACTCTCACTCTTGAAAAACACATGATCAGAACAGTGTAGTCCCATGTTATAACGCATCATTGGTTGTACCATGTGATTTTTTGTTCTATAGATTGTGTCTTTGAAAGGACCGATCCATAAAATCTGTCTCCCTTCAGTGAGTGATAAATCTCATCTCTAAGGAACAACCAGGTTACATAATAGAGTTGGTTGTTGCTGAACAAGAGAAGACAACACACAGCCAATATCCCTTGACAACAGAGCAAAAGCATGGAGAAGCGTCTACTAACCTGAGTGGGTGCGTCAGTCGCCAACCGTTCCAAGGAGGCCAAAAGACCCATTAACAAATGAGACAAGTTACCGAGTCATCCCACTCAGGACCCCAAGTTATAGGCTCTATGGAGCCGGTCATCCGTGACATGACACTGAGGATGAGGACACCTGACATTAGTCCTCAGAACCTCATCTGGAGCCATGATGAAGAATGCTATGGCATGCTCAACAGCAAAAACAGGAGTGTTAAAATTTCTGTGTTAAACTTTTGGGTGGTGACTTAACACCCCCTAGTGTTATTTTAACACATTCTGAGTAAACTRACACCCAATGTTGGTGTTAATTCACACTGTTGATTTCCTCAGTGTTGTTTCAACACTGGACAGTGTTAAATAAGCTTCACCCACAGTTAAGTCTTATATAACACTTAACAGTGTAGCTATATAACACCATGCAGTGTTGAACAAAGTTTTCTGAAAAGCCTCGCCCTCTTCCACCTCATGTCAGACAGACCAGTATTTACCCAGCATTCTTTGCTGAGAAATCTTGCAGAAATTATGTTTTTGCATGTTTATGGMTATTAAAGAAGTTCATGAGAGTAAAAATTAGTTGTTCTGGTTAGTTTTCTTGTTCAGTTTGATCAAGTTGTTCAACTTTAAGTTTATGTTTTGACCAAAAAACAAAACACCATGAGTGAAATGTATGTCCTGGTGTGTCAAGGGTGACTCCAATATACTTTTCTAATAACTACTGAGCTGTGATAATGCAACACTACAAAGAGTCTGATATTAACTCTGAGTGTTAATACACTCTCAATTTGATGGTGTATTGACACCTTGTGGTTACTGTTAACCTTTTAACACCTCAATTTCCTTTGTTACTAATAATACACTGGTGATACATTTAACAATTTATTTAACACTGT